CATACATACATACATACATACATACATACATACATACATACATACATACATACATACATACATATATATGGATATATAAGACAAAAAATAGTTTATACCAAGATTCAAGTATTACTTCTGATTCATTCACCTAGTTTCTATGAATGACACAAAAAATAAGTGTTCAGGAATAGCGATGCCTTACGAATTAAAAGAAGTGAAAAATAAATTCCTCTAAAAAGGATCCGGTTTTTAGGAACAGTGCCTCTCCAATGTTCATTTGTAGGCCCTGTTGAGAAATGGTTCATTTAAAATGTTTTAAGCCTAGAATCATTTATTAAATTTCACGGAGAAAATTTTCTCTAATTCGATCCCATGTAGAATTTGAGGATGACAATTTTTTAAAAGTTATCAACTCTAATTCAACCAAAAAATGACAAACTTATGGACAGATCGTATTTAAACAAGGCGGCATTTATCAAATATGTCTACAACGTTGGGATGGTCTTCGAGTTCAATAGCCGAATGTAACAGGAAATAAGGGAAAACTTCTCCCAATCAATAGTTTTGAATGAATTATTAGGTGTTGAGTACAATATGATATAAGATGAAGTGATATTCACACGGGTTAGTGTGAAGCAATGATTATGATCAAAGGATGAAGCTGTCAAGGAAAGCCACTTCGACGACACTTTCATCAGTTAGTGAAACAAGGGAGAATTTTAAAGTTGGGTTATGTACAATGGCTCAATAAAATGACTCAAAATGATGAAAAAACGATTGCCTAAGAGTGCTATCAGTTTGGTTGACAGCTCTTAGTGTGTCGTCAAGTGCTGGAAAAGCAAACCTAGACCAAAATCTGAAGTAATTCTGTCAAAAAAAAGTCGCTTGCGATCCAAGCAATATCCATACAAATACTTATTTTTACATGGATTCGATGATATTTTTAATTTGCAAACAATAAACGAATCAGTTTTTACGATTAATGGGTTGAAAAAACTCAGAGGATATAAAAAACAGGAAAATGTGAAAATACAGGGAAGCAAAGGCAATTGTTTCCTGTAGCAATTATCTATATATCCATTCCCAGAATAGTTTTGCATCAAATAAAGGCAATACTTTTGACGTTGGCAGAGGAATGTGTATCGGATACGGATAATAAATGTTTACTTATGAATCAAATTTAAATGAAATCAATAAGAATTGATATAAAAACGATGTACATAAAAGCTGAGTGGTAAAAAAAAAGTTTCCTACGCACCTTTGCAACTCTCACATCCGCGATTGTTCTTGTCAGTGCCATTATAAAGAACTGCTGGATTGGGCTTGCTGTAATTTGGTATATAAACTTGCTTGAGTTTGTGCTCTTGGGCAGCCAGTTTCGTTCGCCTTTGGCGAACGTAGCGATCTGTCGTCTTCCAAAAGTAATATAATTCAACAATGGACTTGTGAGTCTTCCAAGGAAGGAAATCAGCCAGGATGTCAGGAAATACTTTAGAGTACTTCTCAAGAGCCTCCTCAAAGAGATTAGCTTCGCTTGGCGACCATTCCTCCAGTTGATCCCGACAAAGAGTAGGTTGGCAACCTGGATAAAATTAAATAAGCGAGAAGTGAATAAATTAAAAAATAATATATAATAATAAAATATGAAGGCCATTAAAAGATTGTCTAAAAGATAAAACTAAGCATTTACCCATGAGCGAAATGCAGTTATGAACCATAAAATCACTCATAGGGTCATATATGATGCATGTTAACAGGAAAGTGTGCACTATGGGTCCCCGATGCATTTATATGTATGAAGTAAAGTTAAGTTTTGAAGAATCCCTTAATAGGATTGAGAATGTAATTTTAGTTTCGAAGGAAACTTGATTAGAAGAGTTACATGAATCGACCTCATTTGAAACCCAAAAGAGATTTCTTTCAAATGGAAACTGTCGGATTGTGCAAATAAATCCTTGGCTCACAGTTCTGTGACCAAGACAAATATATGCCAAGTTTTCCGTCTGTCGTGTGACGGACATCATTTAGAGTACTGGTCGTTCCTGAAATGATGGTTTATTTCTCTGACTATTTTGTTCACATGACAAATCAGCATGGATTTGTCAGGGTCGCAGGACGGTAAGCCGAAGGCTGAATCGCATAGTCCAACATTCCAACAGTCCCCATTACAAAGCAATCCTGAATCGAATTCCTATAGGGCCAATTTATGAATCCCATCCAACTAACTTACGTATGAAATGAAATTTCTAGTCACACTAAGCATTTTGTATTAACTAATAATGTAGAAAATCAGCCTCATAAATGCAAGTTTCAGGTCGATTGAATTTATTTATTTCTATAACTTTTGCCGAAACAAGGAAGTCTTTGGGAACCTTCTTTTTCTCACAATAACATATGGAGTGAGACACAGGAACACCAAACATTCGTCCTAACCTCGAACTTTAGCATTTGAAAGCCAGAACCTTATTGTGTCAGGGGGACTTTCATTTCTTATGAAGGTGCATGAAGAAGAGATTCGGAGGTTGATCTCACCAAAAAACGAAGGCTGAATCCCGTTGAACTGCAGCCCTTTGGCTTTTATATGACGTTCAGGTTTACGCAGTCCACAAGACCTCCTCCTTCGTTTCGGGTGAAAACGGGCTGAGCTTTCGTCCATCATATGATGGGCATCATCAGAGCTGGAACTCATTCTTGTAAAATTCTCAGATTAACACTACGGCAGTTACTCTTTGTATCTAATTTTGTCAAATTGATCTTGGTCTGTGTTGGCATATTGAGGAGCGACGAAGGTGAATCAGTCCATAAATGAGGAGGCAGTTGGGCACTAAATCTCTAGCAATTATGTCATTAAGCTTATGTAGGTGATTGTCTGATAGCCCTGTGACTTTCGCCCACAAATCTTTTAATCTGTACCTAAACTCCTTAGGTCAAAGCCATCCGCATGATAAGGTCGATTCAGTTGAGAGATTTGCTGAAGCGAAAGGTGGGAAGATAAATAATTGAATACACTAATCAGTAAGTGAAATAGTCTTACTTAAGGCATTATTTTGAATTAAATCAAGCAAACAGTGTGCAAAATAATCATGGTATCAAAAATGTCATCTGGAATACTCAGTATGTCAGCCATAATGCACATTAGTGAACACCACGGAAAAAAATGGAACCAGACCCAGAGACAATGATATCAGCAATAAAACCAAAAGCTAACAAGCTAAAACGGTAAAGAGAAGACATTTAATCTCAGAGGAAAAGCTGGTTCGAAAGTACTCGTGAATTGGCCTCACCAAAAACCAAAGGAGGATTGCCTTAGAGACTAGTGAATTGTGCGAAGAAGCCCTCGATTCACCATTTTGTAAAATCGATGAGTTCGTGCTTAGCTTTCACCCGTCATGTGACAGACGTCGTAAGAGCCATAAACTAGCATTTGCGAAAAAAGCAACGATACAGTAAAACAAAAAGGATTGCAGTCAGCCGGTTTCCGGTGAGGCCAATTCATGAATCCCTTTCAATTTTTCCGTCTAGTCTAGTCATATATTGTTAATAGAATCTTCGAAACCCAGTTTGTCTTCCTATACAAAAACCGAAACCTTCATATGTTTTGTGCAAACAAAGAAAAAATATTTCACAAATTGATTTTAAAAAGATCAAGGTTCATTCTCTAGAAATTCGAAGAAGACAATGGCGAAGAACAGATAAGCACTGGCATTCCCAATATAAGGAACTATGAGGCACGAATAGCTTAGTGATAGTAGACCAGATAACTGGCACCGGATAGTGCAAAATGAGTAACAATATAACGTTAACCAACCTTAAAGAGTATTTATTATTCATATATGTGACAAGATTTAATTCCGATGGTACTTTAAGATTTATTAGGCTAGAATAAGCAAGGCCGAACTGATGAAATGTAGTCCGAGTAATCAAGCATGAATTGTGTATATGGAATTGTGGGGTAAAAATTCATTTTGTTAAAACAATTTCTTGCTAGGCCTTGGGATACTATAGGCTGGAAATAACTTAAATAAAAAAGATCACAACTGATTCATTGTAAGTAGTATAAGGGATAATCGGCCTACTCGGCAAAAGGAGATGCACGGCTCGCCGAATATCATAGCCAGCTTTGTGCAACAGATCATGTGTATACTGCATAGTGATATCACGACTGGCAGCTGCAGTTGCTCCTAACAAAAAAGACTGCCGGACAACGGAGCTGGGATCGTGAGCACGTGCCCACAGCCCGACAGCCTTGACGAGCAGGCCAAACAGATCGGCGTCTGCGGGGTTGAGACGTGACCATTCTACAAAGCTAAGATGGCCCGAAATCTGGCCAACTGATGCTTGATCGGTATCAGTACCGGACGCATGAGAAAACGCTGATGTTTTTGTGCTACAAGAGGAGTTAGGTTGTCCTGAAGGCACGCCGTTTTGAGATGAAGTGGCATTGAGAGCATTCGCGGTG